GTACCTTTTCTAAGGACTTTGAAAGCCCATTATTATTCATTCTTATTCATCAGCAGTACTTTGCAGAAAATATTTAAGCCTAACACTAGTGACATAGTAATGTCATTTGTTCTTGCAGATTTTATAATCATCAGGTCTGTAAATTTCTGTCAGAAATAGAAGCTGAATATCTTGAACTGCCCTTACCATAGTTTGATGGCTTAGCAATGAGAACTTTCTGAAGAACAGTCTTCAGCTATTTTCAAATGTCAAATGGCTTTGGAAATTAGTTTTTGATGGTTAATGTTTCTTAATGAATTCAACTAAAATTACAAAACAGCACTTATATTTAAAACTATGGTAAATATTTCAACAACTAATCTAAAAAAGGATATTTCAACAACTAATGTCATCTGAATCACATGTAAGCACAAGCTACTTTATATATTTCCTGTGCTGTCAAAAGTTAAAACAAGACACCATACATATCCCCATTCCCACATAAATTTGCAGCAAATATACTTTCCAAGCAAAATACATATCTAGCAGTGTTTTTTCAGACCTTGGTATAAGCAAAGGGAAATTTCCCTATGTCAAAATCCTTCTTTCTGTGCACCTGATTTAGCTTCCACATAATTTTCATTTGGATTAGGTTAAAATGTAATGATGTGCTAAAAGCCAAAAATATCAGAGAAAAATACAGCAGAAACCTACAAATGTATTTCAAGCAATGAATATGCTCAATGAAAATCATAAGCTCATAAACTAATATCAGTATTTGGCTGTCCCGCCAGTGTGAAAACACATTTTTAAAAAATAAACAAAATCTCATTACAGGTCACTAGTAACCAACTTATGCAATAAACCTTGAGGACAGCAAACACTAACTTTGAAACTTAAAAAAGTTAAATGCTTCTCCAATAAAAATAATTCCACTCTTGTCACTGGTATATCAGTCTTTCAAAAAAAAGTATTAGTATATCTTCAACTTACAGAAGAAGAGAACAATACTTAGCACATAGTAAGCACTCAATAAATACCACTTTCAGGGCCTCCCTGGTGATGCAGTAAAAGTTTTAGTTGGAAAGACCAATAAACAAGGAAATGTTCTTCCCATCTAATAAAAAGGGATATGTTATTGATGTACATTCCTCAGAAGTCAGTCAATCTACTCTTATTTGGGAAGCCAGTAGATGTTAGAGTTCTCAATGTATGTGGTCCTCCTCACTTGGACTGTGAATCTCCTTCTGTTCATCATCTAACAGCAAACAATTTAAATGTCAGAAATATCTGTACCGGGCCTCCCTGGTGGTGTAAGGGTTAAGACGCAGCCTGTGAAGCAATCAGCAGCCATTACAGCATGAGTGATCCCCAGCCAGGGAGCAACCCACATGGCACAGCAGACATCTCCTGACATCGCTGCTCCCCTCAGCAGTGTACTTCAGTCAGTCAGCCTGTTCTCTTCCCAGCTCTGTCTCTGGTGAATCCTCTCACCCCCCACACCTATGGCCTGTACCCCCAGCTCTTGTATGCATAAATAAATAAATCTTTAAAAAAAAAAGAATCTATACCTTATCCAAGCATACATCCATCATTTTCTATAGTATATTAACAATTTATTAAGATAACCAACTCTTAATTTGTTAACAGTCTAGCCAAAACTAAAAGGATTTTCCCTTAAGAAGTTTACGTGCCTTTTCATATGTTCTCCTCTTCTACCCCATGGAAACACAGGTCTTTTCACAAGCAGGTTAAATATGGAAAGTACACTTATTTAAGTCAATCCAAACTTAAGTGCTCTTAATTATTAAAATAATTTAGACTGCACTACCACTTATCCTGTCCATCTAGAATTTCCACTTAAAACCAATAAAGATTTGAGCAATAGTTCCCAACCAGGAATCCCTTAACCCTTCCAAAAGTGAAAGAAATCAACACTCACCAAGTACTTATACAGATCCTTAAAAAAAAAAAAAAAAAGGCAGAACAGACATCCTGGAGTTATGCTCAACATTTCAAAGGAACTGGATGCAAACAACAAACATACAGTAAAATTTCACAAGTATTAATAAATGCAGGCAGATAAATAAACCTTTCAAGGCATTATTTCACCACAATATTCCTTTAATCAGGTCTATCTCTTGTGCTACATATATTCAAAAGACATGTAATTATGATTGCTATGTACTGTAATGGACCATGTACAAAGTCAAAGGAGGGATTAGTTCTGCCTGGAAAGACTTCACAGAGATAACATCTGAGCAGATCCTGAAAGGGTAATTCAGTTCACTGGGCTGCAGATGCTTCCTGTCTATTTCTGGTTTCAAAAATTCACAGAATTTAATGTTAAGTTGGATAAGTCTTTAAAATCATCTAGAATTAAGGTTTTCCACCTTATTTCAAAGTAACAAAACATCATTATATAAAACAGGTCGAAGTGAGCCTGCTCTTTTGATAGAAGTTACTGGAAAACACTACTGCTCTCATCAATCCCTTTACCTTTAAAATAAAAAAAGTGAGTCATTAAGAAGGACAATGGTTTAACAAAAGACCATATAAAGATAAAAATGCAACAAATCATTCAAAGAATACCTCTAAAGCATTACCTTGTCTTTGAAGTCATGCCTAATTTCTCTCCAGGTTGAGTTTACCATTCCTTACTTTACTCCCCAATACACCCAGAATACAGTCCCATTCTGGCATCAATAAAGAATTAGTGTGCTAATTTTACCTTTTTAATGTGCTGTGTCCCTTTACTGCAGTGGGAGCTCCCTGAATGCAGGGACTGTCTTAATCACCATGTATGCTAAATACCAGGGAAAAATGATATTTATTAAGTTATATTTGACCAAATTTCAGAAAAAAATGTAGACAGTTCAGTGCCTAACATACAGAAGGACTTAATAAGTATCTGCCAAGTGAATTTGCTGAAAATAATACAGCTAAAACAGAACAGCATCTGATACACAGTATATATTCTATAAACATTAGCTGTTATTATGTAATTTTATCTATGAAAAAAGTAAACTACTATTGAACATTTAATCTGGACAGTAAAAACTGAGCACTTTTTAATCAATGGTTTCAACTGGCTCATTTACATATTACTAATACCACTACATCTTTGATAAGAAAAAGAAAACCTAGCGCATTCATTAGGTTCTCCTGACAGCGCACCCTGGGAAAAAAACAGCAGAATTGTATGTATACTGCTAATTTCTAGATTTGGAGTGACAGAAGAAATTAAGCCAAATTTTGGAACCTAAATCATTTATTTCTAGTTCTGTTTCATCATCTGTCAAGTGAGGAGTAATGGGGAGTGGAAAGGTTTATCTCTAAGGTTCTTTCCTGCTGTAATCCTGAAGGGCTCCAGACAAACAGAGACCTAGTATCACTTAGTTTTCAACTCAAGTAAGAACTTTACAAGTTAGTAAATTGTGCACTGGATTTGGTGTCAAATGGACAGGGTTTTCATACCAATTTTGTTACTATTTAGTTGTGTAATTCTGATCTCAATTTCCTCACCCTATAAAATGAAGTTGTTGGGCAATATGTTTCTATTTAAAGAACATCATAGTCGTGCCACACTATGATCATGAAATATCATAGTTATTCATAATCATGTGAATATAAATACCAAACACATTCACAGTCATGAAATAAGCTACCTCTGAAGGCAGTATTCAGGTGGGAATTGAGCCACCCCTTACTGCAGATGATTCGAGGATTCCAGCATTAATCAAAAGTGGAGAATTTCAGGATTAGAAGTGGGCTTATAAGTTTTCCAATGCTCACCCAACCTAAATCCAAATCCTCTCAACATATTCCTGAAAGAGCTCACCCAACCATTCTAATACTGAGGAACAACTCGTGGAAACAAGACAGTTCCTCTTAGCCAAGGACGATCCCTAAATTCATTTACTGACCACCTTCTAGTAACTTCCATCCATGAGTTTTACCTTTCAACTAAGAGCATCTCAAATGTCTTTGAGCAATGAATAGCGATAACATGCCTCTTAGTATCCTCTCTAAAATTAAAACCCCCGACTTCTTCAACCTTTCCTCATAACCTTCCCAACACACCCTCACCAGCCTGCCTTCTTCAGCGAATGTCAAAATTACTTGATCAGTCCCTCCCATTCTGACATCCCAAGATGTCAGATTCCTGTGGAACCCAAGATTTCCCACTTGCCCACCACATGGAGACTCCTAATCGCCCTTGACACACGAGGGGGCAGGTGGGGTGTTAAGTGTGCCCCTTCTGCTTTTTCCAGGAGAGGAGACAAAGTGACGGCGGCAGCAACGGAGAGACCCGCAAGCACCCTGCTCTGCCCCCGGACCAAATCTCCTCCCTCACCGGTATTGCTTGGGGTCGCTGGGAGACTTGACGATCTCAGGGTCTCCGGCGTTACTGAGAGGCCCCCTCCGTCCCTCCTCCTCAGACTCATCGGCTCCTAGACGGGCCACTCGGCCGCTCTCGTCCAAATCCTGTCCGTTAGACTGTAGGTCAGGGCAGCTGCAGGTAGATTTCGCCTTGTTCCTTCCAGGCATGATTCGAGAAGGAAAAGTTCCGGCAGCAGCAGAATCTTCGCACCGACCCCGCGCTACGATACTCCACAGCACCACGAGCTCCCGCCCGGCCTCAAACCACAACTTCCTCCCGGTGGCACGGACTGCAGCAACCGTGACTCTCCTCAGCATTCACCACCAAGCCGGAGCGATGGGCATCCCGCTCCCCAGGGCCCACCTCCTCCTCCTACTCGCCCAGCCGCTCCTCCTCCTCCTCGGCGTTCCAGAGGTGGTGGCGGCCGGCGCTGGTGCTGCCGCAGCCGCTGGGGAGGACAGGCCTGAACCCCTCCCCCAATCTGATCTCCCGCACGCAGACTTCCCACATTCCCCCGCCCTCCCCGCCACGGATGACGCTAAGATTCTAGCCAATCAGGAGGCAAGACAGCAGTCACGTTGACGCAAGCAACCAATAGGAACAGCGAATGAAAGGAACCTAAGCGACTTGGCCGAAGGCTCCGTGCACCCAGAGAGCCCTTCGAAACGTGGGTGGGCGGGGCGCGTAAGAAAAGGCGGAGCGTGGCGCGGAGGATGACGGGAGGAGCGTGCTAGGCCGCGATTATGACGTTTCAGGCGCGTTAATTGGCGACGGCCGGTAAGTAATGCTCCGCGACGCAGAGAAATATATTCCCCAATGAGAAAGCTGGGAAGCGAGTGGAGGAAAAGAACTCCCAAGTTTTGCTGCTCATTCATGTTTTGTACATCCTGCCCCTGAGCCTTCGAGCGGACCTTTCGCCATGACTCAGCACTTAAAAAAACAAAACGCCGGAAGCCTTTTTCTTCCGCCGCCGACTGGAAACTGCTCCCGAGTAGGGCGAAGCTGAGCTGAACGCAGCTGGAGTCCCTTGGCCTTATCTGCTGCCACATGTGGGTGCTGCTGCTCCACCCCGTCGCCTGCCACGCCCAGGCGCTGTTCTGAAGGCTTAAGAAAATGTTGTAGTGTAAATGCGCCGACTCATTTTTTAGCTTCCCCACAAACTAGAGTCTGCAGTTAACGTTCAGTTCAGTCAGTTTTTATTTAGCAGCTACAGCGTCAGCTGCTGCCCTCGAGTTCCTTTTCTCAGTTTTTTTGGGGGGGTTTTGGGGTGGTTTTTTGTTTGTTTGTTTTTTGCTTATAATGGCTTTTGGTGGGCTGTCATTTAAAATATGGCTAACACTGACATACTTGATAAAAGTGAGACAGGAATGGTCCAAGGCAGAGCTCACGGACTGTTTCCAGGGGCTGGTAAACAAGAGTTAAATCTGATGATTCTAGGATCATATACCTGCCATAAATTCTTTGGCATATTGTTTATACTAATTTTTCCCAGCTTGGGCATCCCTGCTTTATCTTTCCACGGCTTGTCAAGTTTGCTGCTATGGAGGGGGCAGTGGGGTGGTTATAGAGCCAGAAGAGAAAAGCCGCAGACCTTGAGGCCAGACTGCTTAAACTGGAGCTGCAGGCATACTGCCTGCAGGAGATGTTCACTTGAAAGTGATCTGGAGCCCTGTCAGACCTCCTAGCTGCTGGGTGGTCACAATTAGCAGCAGTGAATGGACTTGAGCTCCACTCTCCTTGCTTTCTCAGCCAATAAAGTTTAATTCCTTTGTTCCCAATACCAAAATTATATAAACCCCACTGTGCCTCTCCCCCACCCCACCCCACCCCACGCACACACACTCTCTCTCTCTCTCACACTCCTCTCTCCTTCTCCACCCCCCTTGGGGATTCTTTATCATTCCTACAGAACTCTCCCCAAGTTCCCTTTCCTTGCCTTTTTTGCTAATCAATAAACGATGACTCCTAACCCGCCTTCACTGGTATCTGTGGCATACTCTTTTCAATGTTAACCAGAGGGTCTCAAGAGCCCTTTCCTGGTTTTGGATGTCCAGCAGGTGGAGCAGTGGAGCAGTAGCTGGTTCCCTTGCAGCTTACCTGCCTGTGTTGGGTGGAATCAGACTGAGGGACCCTAGGCCCACTCCCTTGTATGGTGACAAGCAGCTGACAAGATGACAAGATACAGTCCACTAACATCGTGGGGCAAGAAATCCTAATACATGTGAAGATGTATGAATCTATACTCCTAAATCATACAGTTTTATAACCCAACATTACCTCAATTAAAAAATACAAATAAAAATTTAAATAAAATTATTAATTTTTAGTGCCACATACTGTGCATTCAGTAATTCTTTAAACGTAACTTTTTCTTTCAAAATTTGTTCAATTAATAGAATCCAACATACCCAAAATTTATATTCTTATGTTATATAATGAAACTACAAATTAAAGAAAAATCAGAAGTCTTTAAAATTTTTTTTGTATCTGGCTATTTTTGTTGTTGTTTAGCATTTTTTTTTCCCACTCACCATGATCCATTACTCCCCCTCCACCATTGCTCCCAATCCTGTCATCTTCCCCTCTGGGAACATCAATTATGTTCTTGATGTCAACTAGCTTATTTTTGTTTTGTGGTAGTGGGCATTATTTTGGTGGAACTGCAGAAGGATCTAGTCTAGTCAGAGTTTCTCTAAAGAGACATTTAAGGTTACATTTGAAATATATATAGAAATTGGAGCCTCCCTGGTGATGCAAGGAGTTAAGTCTCAGCATTATGAAGCTATCTGCAGCCGCTGCACCACGAGTTGGATCCCTGGCTAGGGTGCTGACCCACATGGTGCAGCAGACCTCTCCTATCTAGCCTGCTGCTCCCCTCAGCAGTGTATTTCAGTAGATCTGCCCGTTCGCCTCCCCACTCTGTCTCTGGTGAATCCTTTCACCCATCCACCCTGGCTCCTCTGACCTACACCCCAGCTCTTGTGTGCATAAATAAATCCTAAAAAAAAAATTGATGTAGACATAGACTTGTTCAAAAGTTCTGAGAAAGTCAGACAATGTGACTAAACTAGTAATCTAAAAGCAAACAGGAAGTGAATTGGTTACTAAGAATCTTCCTTAGAGTGAAAAGAAGCTACTGAAAATACTAAAAAGGAAGTGCTAGAATGGTAAGAGGAAAACCAAAAGAATGTAATACCACAGGAAATGTAATAGCACAGGGAAACACCTCTTTGATGCTTGATCCAACACAAATCTGAACTCATAGCCAAATGTCAGAAGTGTCAGATTAGGTGATTAAAATAGATCGTGGAAGTGCGTACATCTGACTTCAGACAGAAGGAGAAGTAACACTCATAAGTGACCAGTGCCACAGCCAGGACTTCCAATCCAAAAGTGTTGTTTTCCATTTAAATAATACAGAAATTTACTACCTACCATTTAGATATCCATAATTATTGTAAACAGTATTCCTCAGGAAAAACAAGTTAAACTGTCATCATTTATAGGAAATTGAGACATTATGAAGACCCTGAGATCCCCAAGAAAGTTAAGGAACACAGACTTAAATGTAACCTCATTTATCCAGCCTCTCTTAAAGCTTTATTCTATCTCCACTCCACCTTCAGTCTCCCTACACTTCTTCCCATATGTTTCTCAATGGAAGGAATCCCTTCGCAACAGGTTTGGTGATACTTTTCTTACTCTGATGTGAGGTCACAAATCTGAAAATAAAAAAATCTCACTTCTATGTATGATGCCTATCTCTAAAAGATATAGTATTCATCATTGCAATGGCTGTCTGCCTCCCAGCGGATAAATCTGAGCTTTAGTCCTAAAAATTCAAAGGTAATTATTTCATTAAGCCCATTATCCGACTTTATATATGAAACTCGGGAGAAGTCAGTTGTATGAAATGTTGATTCTGTATTGAACAGATTGTATTACATGTCCTTTAAAGTCTCAAGCCCAAAATTATCTACACACTTTTAGTAGCTAAAATTCCCCTTAATAATTCATTGGTCTCTTTAGAATGCCTCTTAAACTTTGCCAATAATACCTTTGAAAGGAGTAAAAAACTGACACAGTTTTGTGAATGATTTTATTTTATTTCCCCTTTTTGAAGCATACTCTGGACAAGCTGAGAGGACCACAAACCTTGGGTGGGTGAAAAGTTTGCTAAATGTGGGAAGAAAGACACAGAAGGAGGAGATAGGTAACAAGAGAAATAGCATCTATATTATAACTTTGTCCTAGGTTCTAAATTACACCTTAAGAGTTCTAGTTATGATGTGCCCAGCCACTAATTACTCCACATTTGCAGCTTTGAATCTAGGTCAGGAAGTAGTCATGTTCTTATGGAATCTTCTCTTGGGAGGAGAATGTGTGCACAATATACCAAGGAATTTGTGGGACCATCAAAATCGTTTTCTCCTGTACTGTAAACATACTTCTAGGGAGAATTTGGTATTCAAACTTCAAAATAGGGCCTCCCTGGTGATGCAAGGGTTAAGACACAACCTATGAAGCTATCCACAGCCACTTCAGCACGAGTTCGATTCTCGGCCAGCCAGGGAGCAACCCACATGGCTCAGCAGACCTCTCCTGACTCGCCCGCTATCCACAGCCACTTCAGCACGAGTTCGATTCTCGGCCAGCCAGGGAGCAACCCACATGGTACAGCAGACCTCTCCTGACACACCCGCTGCTCTCAGCAGCATACTTCAGTCAATCTGCCTGTTCTGTTCCCCACTCTGTCTCTGGTGAATCCTCTCACCACCACCCCCATACCTCGGGCCTGTAACACAGCTTTTGTAAGCATAAATAAAAAATCTTTTAAAAAAAATTCAAAATAAGGAGCAATCCTAAAAATATAGCTTATGTCAAATGAAAGTTATTCTATCACAAATCCAGCTAAGTGTTCTTCATGTCTAATCTGAAAACAGATTTCGAGATTCTATCTGGAAAGGAGAATGTGAAGACACAAAAATGATATTTAAAATATATAAATTAGAAATCAGATTATATTACTCCCCTTTTTAAAGCCCACCAGTGACGTCTCTTCCCACTTTAAATAAAATCTAACTGCTAGCCATAGTCTATAAGGCTCAACTTAAAATTCCTGTCTTGCCTCTATGTTTACAGTCTCATCCACCATTTCTGCCCCATTCACACTGGCTTTGCCCCATTCACACTGGCTTCCTTGATGTCTTTCAACACTCTAGAGGAGTTCTTGCCTTAGGCCCATTACATGGGCTTTTCAGTCTAGATTGCTCTCCTTATAATTTACATCACTGTCTCCTTCTCATTGATCATTCTCAAAAGTCACCACTTAAGAGAGGTCTTCTCTTACCATGCTATCTAAACTCATCTGAAATTATATTAATTTGTTTATTGCCTTGTTGTCTGTATACCTTCTCTATTTTATAAGGTGCTTGGAGAGTTAGTACCTCATCTGTCTTATCTTTCTGAAATGTGATACAAGGTCAATACTGAGAATGAGGGATTAGGTAGTGATGGGTTCTGTTACTGTGGGAATCAATGAATAAGATATTTGTGGTTTTTGTTTGCTTAAATTCTCACATTCAGTTGATTGCTTTTGTTTCCTGAATAACTCTAATACTCTGGGCTAAGTATTTTATTTATATTAACTCATTTGTAACTCACAGCAACCTGTCTGTTTCTTCATCAGTTTACAAATGAAGAAACTGAGTTTTAAAGAGGTTCAATAGCTTACACAAAATCACACAATAAAGTGGGAATTACAAAAATCCCAAAGTATGTGAATCTGATTCCAAAGATTTGACTCTTTTGTCTCTTGCCCACTGCCTGTCAAATACCTAGAACAGGGCCTCCCCAGTGGCACAGCAGTTGAGCGCTGGGTTGCGAAGCTGCCTGCAGCCTCTGCAGCGCCTGCTCGATCCCCAGCTGCTCCCTGGCCACCGGAGGAGGGTCCCACATGGCGCGCAGACCTCTCCTGCCGCCTGCTGCTCCCCCCCTCAGCAGTGTACTTCGATCCTTCTGCCTGCTCTTCTCCCCGCACTGGCTCTGGTGAATTCTCTTACCCTCCCGCGCTTCTGACTGTACCCAGTGCTTGTATAAACAAACAAACAAACAAATAAATAAATAAAATCTTTTAAAAAAAATACCTAGAACAGACACTTCTAATTCATTAATTTGATTGTTGATATGATGTGACTAATCATAAGTCTCATTTTTTAAATGCAATATGGAAAGTAACATATATCATAACTCAAAGCCCAAAAGGATACTTCATAACTATCATTAATAAAGCACCTGGCTTTTTGTCAACCTTCTTTTTTTCCTCTCTGAAAATTAAGCCTAGAAGTCGTTTGCTTGGATGGAGTTAAGCAAGCTAGATTCCTGCATCCAGGGTGTGTCGGTGCAGCCTAATGAGGACATGAGAGTTAAAGAGGATGAACACATGGGCAGACTGGTGGTGCAAGGTGTCAGAGTCCAAACAGAGTAAGGAAGGCGAGGGATGAGGCCAATAGTGGCAAAGGAGATTGGTTATGCTGAAAACGATTTTTCGAATAACTGAATATGTTAGAGATAATGTGAGCCACGTTTCTCATTGTAGGAGAAGGGAGTTACAAATATGGAAATGCAGACATTAGACAAGCTCTGTGGTGGAGTATTGGAATTGTAGGTATGAGTACAAACTCTAATTTTTAAAATGTAGGTGTAAAGTAAATATAGATGTGAATATGTATGTATGTAGACATGTGAGAATGTGTGTGTGTGTGTGTTCTCTAGCCAGGAAACAGTGACTCCCCAACAGCAATGACCATCCCCAATACCTCCATCTTAGTTTCTAAATGCTATTCTCTACTAAAAGACCATTTTTCACTAAAAGGAACGCAGGTTTCTTGGAGAAATGACTGATTCCAAGACCAGGGGAGAGAAGATATAATATGGTGAACACCATGTATACCACAGGGTAGGGAAGTATTAAAAGAATGATGAGGACATGTCAAAGGACAGAGAAGTCACCTTCAAGGGACTTCCCCCACAAAACCAGATTGGGGACAATATGAGAATCAAAACAATAGTAACAGATGATAATCCATTGTCTAAACTAGGAATCCATGCCTCTGAACTGACAAAATGATTAATAGGGGGGAAAGAACGCTTTTTGTTACCATAAAATAGCAACAGCGAATGGAGAAGGGATGATGATATTAAAAACCAGCATTTGGCAACCGTAAGAGTAATATGGGCCTCCCCGGTGGCGCAGCGGTTGAGCACTGGGTTGCGAAGCTGCCCGCAGCCTCTGCAGCGCCAATTCGATCCCCGGCTGCTCCCCGGCCACTGGAGGAGGGTCCCACATGGTGCTCAGACCTCTCCTGCCGCCCACTGCTCCCCTCAGCAGTGTGCTTCGGTCCTTCTGCCTGCTCTGCTCCCCGCTCTGGCTCTGGTGAATTCTCTCACCCTCCCATGCTTCTGACTGTACCCAGTGCTTGTATAAATAAAATAAATAAATAAATAAATAAATAAATAAATAAATAAATAAATAAATCTTTAAAAAAAAAGAGTAATAATTAATTCAACCAAGAAACATCTATATATGCTAAACCACTTGCTGAAAATTTGTTGGAAATGGAATATTTATATAGTCTCAAAGTACCTCCGTACAAAATGCTTATGAGTTAAGTAGAGAAAAAGAACAACTGTACAATGCAAAAACCTGGCAAATACACTTAACCTATGAACACAGTAATGAAATTGTGCCGTCTGGTGGTACACAGTACAGAAAACCCAGTGTCACCTCTGTGCTGCTCCTTTAAAAATTTATATCTTGAATCTAATCAATAAGAAACACCAAATTAACCAAATTGAGGAACTTCCTGTAAAATAATTTGCCTTGATCTTTAAATGAAACAAAGTCATGAAAATCAAAGAAAAACTAAGAAGCTATTTTTTATTCAAAACTAACAAGGCATGCCATTATATGTATCACTACAAAAGACATTGTTGGGACAATTTTCTAAACTTGAACTGAGACTTTGAATTTGATGGCTGTAGTGTCCCAAGTCAGTCTCCCGATTTTGATCATTTGTGGAGAATGAGGTATCATATGGGCAACCTACTCTCAAAGGTTGAGAAATTAAAACCTTTCATTGTACTATTTTTCAACTTTCCTCCAAGTTTGAATTTTTTTTAAATAAAAAAGGAAATTTATTACCAAGGAAGTCAGAAAGAATACCATTAAAAATTTTAGAACTGACTGCCAATGTCTTAAATGTAAAAGCCTTCCTGGAACTGTGGGTAGGAAAAAAAATGCTCTATGAGTGTAATAGTACAGTTTTTCTCCACCTAATCACATCTTCCAAGATCTTGAAAGAGCTAACTCCTTCCAGAATCTTTGATTCCTCGTGCCCATACTCATCATCCATTCCATACTTACACTCAGGTTACATGTATTTTATACCACTTTCTTGGCACTTGATCATATATGACTTTGTGACTTCTCTTGTACTATTGTATTATATAAATTTTCAGTTCTGGTTTAAATCTTTTCATGAGTATGTTACTTCCATAATTATATTGTGATCAACTCAGAAGCCAATACCAGATATGATCTCTATATCTCTCCCAATGTGTCTGCCATGTGTTTTGCAATGACATTTCCACATCCCAAGGAATGTCAAAGAATAATTAATATCACTTAGCAAATATTTCTTGCACACCAACTATGTATGTGGAACTGTAAATAACAATTACTTGCATGTATAGGATGCTTTCTAGTTTATGTAACATCTACACATTCATATCTCATTTGTTTTCCAGAATAACTCTGTGAAGAAGGTGCTACCACATAATAAACTTGCTCAGAGAGAAACTGTGATTTACTGGAAGTCAATAGCTATTTAATAGCAGAATTGGAATGCCAACCTCTGTCTTCAAATTTCAAGTCCAGTGCTTTTTCCACTCCACCAAAGGAAACAGGTATCAAGTCTGAAAACACGGATGGTCATAGGCATTGGAATAGTTTTCTGTTGCTGCTGTAACAAATTACTAGATTTAATAGCATACGCACAAAAAATACTTTTACAATCCTATAGGATAAAAGTCTGAAATATGTCTCACTGGGCTAAAATTAAGAGGTATCAGGATTGTGTGCCTTCCTAAGAGCTCTATAAGAGAATCTATTTCCTTGCTCTTTCCAGTTTCTAGATGTTGCTTTTATATTCTTTGACTTGTATCTCCTTTTCTCCATCTTCAAAGCAAGCAGCCATGCATGTCTCTGTGCCTTTTTTCTATAACTACATGTTTCTCTGAATCACTCTTCTACTCATAAGGACCCTTGCCGTGAAGTTGGACCTGCCCAGATAATAATCCAAGGTAATCTTCCTACATAAGGGGCAGTAGGGACTAAAGCATATCTCACCAACAGAGAATTAGATAAGATGTACACATGTGTTAAAGGGGGAAGAAAAAAATATGTCATGGAAGTAAACATTATATAAGCAAGACAATTGTGAAAGAAAGGAATGGCTTAGAAGGGGCTGGTTCATATCCTGATTCTGCCATTTGCAGGATCTTGGACAAGCCCTAAAAGTTGATAAACTTTTTAAACCCTGCTGTTCTCATCTATAAAATGCACTCTTCATAGGGTTGTTGTGAGGGTTTAGGTCCAGATTCTTGAAGAATACTATGACAGAACTTGGTCTAAAGGATGTGTTCAAGAACTGTTGGCAGATATAAATATCTGATGGCTTTTATCTAATTCACCTTGATGCAGGTGGGGAGGGTTTCTTGATCAACCACAAGGTGGAGCTCAAGACATAGGAGTGCATATCTTGCTCTTCAATGTGAATTTCTGGACTTGAAGGGGGGAAATGGAGTAGCCTTTTCATCAGAGTTTTGCCGGAAAAGATCCTACCATCCTTTAAGACTCCCACCCATGTTCCTTTATCATGAGAGCCTTTGTGTTTTGTTTGTGTGTGGTTTTTCAAAAAGAGAGAATCACATTGCCACTAAAATAAGGATAGGAAATACATTAAGAAAATTAGGGTCAATAAAACATAATGAGGAGACACTAGTTATTGCAAATGGGATCTTCCCTTTTGTTGCTGTGCATATCCTTATGTATCCCTACATCTCTTTGTATTTGTACAAACTCACACCACCACATGATACTTCCTATTTCCTATGTCATGGCGAAGAGGTGTCAGTGTACAGAACACAAGAATAAAAAAGCATGAAAACATCTGCTCTGAACCTAGCTAGAACCTGATGGGAAGAGACATGAGGCATATTATTCCTCTGTCTGCTCAGACCTATAGCAGGACAACTCTAATTTTTGCTAATTGCTCCTCCTGAGGAATTCCGTGGAGGCTGTTGTGCATCTCCTAGGCTGCCATGAGACCAACCCAGTCCCTGGCTGAATAAATTAGAAGGAACTATTGGGGGAATTGAAGATGGCATGCAAACAGTAAGGTGACATTTCCCTGTGATGGCAGAGATCGTCAGCCCCTGGTCCATTGACAGAAGGAAAATCTCAGTCCCGATGTTTAATTTTATTGAGTTTTTGGGGCATGAAATTTTGTGCTCCTCTCCTTCCTTTGCTCCCAGAAACAGCAGCAGAACATATACACAATGGATGCTTAGGTTTTCTGTTTAACTGCCCACCTTCACTCCCACTAGACAGATTCAGGATCAAGATTGCCTACTCCTGGAGGCCGACTCTACCTTATTCTGAGGACAACCAAGCCATTAGCTGCCTTCTCTATGTAGTCGGACTCATTGCTTCACTGATGCAGGTCTGTTTTCCTCATCTGAGTATTGGGAATAATAAAACCCACATCATAGGGTTGTGTCAAAGATCACTGGGGCTTCATTGAGAAAGTGTTTGGAAATTGCAAAATGCAGAACACACATGGGTTGATGACTTTTTGCTATAATGTTCTAATCATAGTGCAGCCGGACTGTACTCTCTGCCCCCTTCGTAGGCCACCACTCCATCATAGTCAGTGCTCTGCTTATCCAATCCCAGCATGTACTCACCAATTCTCTTTGCCTGCTGTTAGCCTGTGGAAGTTTCTCTGAAGCCATCCAAACATCTGGATATAAGATATGTTGACCCTGATGTTTATATGTGAGTTTAATTTCCTGGGACTTGAAGGTCTTATCCACTAAAACTTTTGTCTTGATGCTACAAATAGCAGAACCCGTTTAGAACAGGCAGGTTTGTGGGTCCTGGGGTGCCCCTCATTCTACCCACTAACAATAGTTACAATAGTTAATACCACATCTTCAGCACCTACTGTGTAGGTCAGGCACTGAAGTGAGGGCTTTATACCCATCCTCCATTTTATTCTTTTTTTTTTTTTTTAAGATTTATTTATTTATACAAGCATTGGGTAGTCAGAAGTGCGGGAGGGTGAAAGGATTCACGAGAGCCAGAGCAGGGAACAGAACAGGCAGAAGTGTAACAGGGTGGTCCCCAGGAAAGGGGGAGGTTCCAGGTTTCCTGCCCCACCCAAGTGGAGTGTGGAGCTGAGCAGGGAGAGAAGAAGCTGCAGAGGAGACTGAGGAAGGAAGCAGGATGGAGCCAGAAGGGGACCTGGAGGAGGCACATGGAGCCTAGAGACACGTGAAGAAACTGCGCTTGTCTTTTGGTCATGGACGGGGTGACACAGATGTGGGTGAGACCCGTGGGGAGGTGACAATGGCAGCTTTTATCTTGATTTTGATTTTGCTCTTTTCCTTCTGGGCTTATCTGGTTGTTTCTGACCCTTTTCTGTGGGTCCCCACTGGAAGATGCTTTAGACTTGTGGCAGGCTTTGGGACCTTGCTCTGGGCCAATCCCCTTTGGATGGAGTTTTACCCATGAGGCGACGGGTAACTTTGGGTGCTTGATTTAGAAACTAGATTCTTTGCCTTTCCTGTATTGTTTCCTAATTGTATTAAAGTTCTTTCCCATTAAAGTCTCATATTTTGTGTTAATGCGGTAGATGGCAGAACCCTATATAGAATAGGCAGGTTTGTGAGGTTTGGGCTGCCCCTTTCCCTGCCCTGTAACATATTGACCGAAGGACTCTGCTGAGGGGAGCAGCAGGCGGCAGGAGAGGTCTACGCGTCATGTGGGACCCTCGCCGGTGGCCGGGGATCGAACCGGAGCTGCAGAGGCTGCTGCAGCTTTGCAGCCCAGCATTCAACAGCTGTGCCACCAGGGGAAGCCCTCCATTTAATTCTTTCAACAACCTTTTGAAGTAGATATTTCTTTCATTTACATATGAAGTGACTGAGGCTCTGAGAATAATTTGCTTAGTCATATCACTAGTTAGAGCTGAAGACCCAAGAATTGCATCAAATATGTTGGACTATAAGCCCTTTGCTTTTTATTATTCCACCATACCATTCCACCATACCCCTTTCTTAGAACTCATCCTGTGGGAGGCTGGTTAGAGGGATTTGAAGATAGTTCAGCATAGGCAAATCTCTCAGTCTTTCATTTCCAGGCTGGCAGCTATGTGACAGGAGTCATCCTCAAAATTATGTTCCTTAGCTCAGCCTGGCACACACTTGGTGCTCAATGAATTAAGTTGTCCTTGAATTGGAATGCAATTCTGGCTCTTAAACAGTGCTGCCTGGCGTCTCCCCTCAAACACATGGAGCTGTGCTCTATTCTCAACAAGTCTCTTCAGAGTCTTGTTTCTCCTCTTCCTCTTGTTGCCCTTTAGGACTCTCTGTTCTAAGAGTGGCAACATGGACCATGCAGAGATATTTAATTGCTAGGACATTTTTCTTGCAGCTTCAGAAACCAGGGCCATTAAGCTTGGCTAAGTGATGAGGGAGTCCCACAGCCTTAGCTGTTTTTGTTGCATCCCAGGATAAACAAGGCTTTCATAGTGAAAGAAATCCTGCCAAAGTTCTTTGCTACTTGCAACTCTTACAGAAAATTGGCATAAAATCACAGAGCATGGGCGTCCCTGGTGGCGCAGGTGGTTGAACGCAGGGCTGTGAAGCTGTCTGCAGCCTCTGCAATGCCGGTTCGATCCCCACCTGCCTTAGAGCAACCCACATGGTGAGCAGATCTCTCCTGTCTCGCCCACTGCTCCCCTCAGCAGTGTATTTCGTCAGTCTGCCTGTTCTGTTCCCCACTCTGTCTCTGGTGAATCCTCTCACCCTCCCGCACATCTGGACTGTACCCCAGCTCTTGTATAAATAAAATAAATCTTAAAAAAAAAATCACAGAGCATTAAAAGGCCTGCAGAAACCATCTTGTCTAAGCTCTTGAAGCCCAGAGATAGTAGTGATTTAACCAAGGTTGCATAGCCTATTAACTTTATCCCAATCCATTGGTGAATCCCAGGAAGAGCTGCATTAGTATCTGAAGGAACTGGGAATACTAATTACACCCCCTCAGGGACTTGGTTTACTTTGCCTGACATTAGCATTTCCATGGCATGATTTTGTATCTCAAAAAGGAAACTCTTCTATTTGAATTTCCTGAAGACTTCTTGTTTGCATATTTGCTGTTGGGTCACATCAAAATGATAGAAGAGAAGCAAGCAAAAACATATGCCACACAATTCAGCCCAATCCATAATGCTTTAAAGAGGGTGGATGTCTCTAAGTTGGCAAAGCAATAGGAATAGATGCGGAGAAAAATGGTAGTGTTGTTAGCTTTTGTAAAGTTCTTAGCTAACTTTAATGCCACATATGAAAAGAATTCAGTGACTTCCATTGTTATTAATACTATTATTGATTTTTTTGTTAATTTTTTTCAGCTCTAACTCTACCCCAAACTTACTATAGGATCTCTATTAAATCATTTCCTGTAATAGCTGACAGTCATATAGCCCCTGAATTCTGATGGAAATAACATACTCTTCTTTTGTAATATTGCTACTCCTCTTCCAAACCAGGTGTTTCTTATAAAGACTGTCAGTAACGGAGAATGTGATCAAGTATGGCCAATCAGAATCCTTCCCTAGGATTTCGTTCTTTAAACTGGAGCTATTTTCTTTGCATCTCAGTGGCAAATACGTGAATATGTGGTGCTAAAACTGATGGCTTATTCTCAACCATGTGTAGAAAATGCTGGCCTGTCATAAGAAAAACCAAGGCCATCATGTAGAGAGAAGCATAGACAGAAGCACTGTCTGCTCATTTATATTTTTAAATGATTGCTGTTTTATAGAGGGTGGATTGTAAGGGAGGAAGTATGAAGTAGGGAAACTGACTAGGAGCTTTGTGGCAGCTCTTTTGGGAAGAAACAGTGGTGACTTGGACCAAAGTCATGGCAATGGAAATGGGGAAAAGTAAGCGGACTTGAGAATAATTTAAAACTGGAACCAGAAGACTTGCTGCTGGATTAGATGTGGACATGAAGGAAAAAGAGTAAGGAATTTAAAACGGCAGTTACGTTTTTGTGAAGACTGAGGTGGAAATAAATTTGTGGCAGAATCAAGAGCTGCAATTTGGACATGTACGTTTGAAACATGGAGATTTCTAGTAGGAACTTACATATACATGTCATTGCCAAAGACCTGGCATCTAAAACTTTAGGACTAGGTGATAGCCTGAGAAAGAGAGTATAGCCAGAGCAGAGGGCCCAGCTGTCCTAGGCATCTTGTCTGCCCATAGCAAATCCTTCTGCTGGCCAGTAACTTCAATTGGGAATCACAAACATTACAGAGAATTCCAAGCAATGAGAACATGACTTATGCCCTAAGGGGTAGCTAAGAGTAATGAAATGAGCTGTCAAATAAGTATTAAAACTTCTCCATCCATATATGTCTTGATTCCTGCCCTGCTCTAAACCATATTGACATTTCTCTTTGGAGATATTTTAGAGCCAGACTAAACTTTAAGAACCAAGGACAAGTAAACAGTATATAATAAATAATAAACTAGAAGTAGGTTAAATTCATTTAAAAAAAAAAAAAAGAACCAAGGACATTTATCAGACTTTGTTTCAGATTACTTAGGGTTGTTTCCTTTGGTAGATTGAAAAATTGGTCACAATATTTTACAGCTTCTCCCATCTAAAGATAGCATCTCCCCGGTGGCGCAGCGGTCGAGCGCTGGGTTGCGAAGCTGCCCGCAGCCTCTGCAGTGCCGGTTCGATCCCCGGCCGCTGGGCAAGGGTCCCACATGGCGCGCAGACCTCTCCTGCCACCTGCTGCTCCCCTCAGCAGTGTATTTCATCAGTCTGCCTGTTCTGCTCTCCACTCTGGCTCTGGTGAATTCTCTCACCCTCCCGGGCTTCTGACTGTACCCAGTGCTTGTATAAATAAATAAATAAATCTTTTAAAAAAAAAAAAAGATAGCATCTATTTCTCCATCCTCCATCCACTTAAAATTGTGCCTGGCTATGTGACTTGCATTAATCAGTGGGACATTAATAGCAAACATGATGCAAGGAAAGACTTAAAAAGTGCTTCTGCATTGGATCTTGCCCTTTCTTGGCTGCTGAGAAAACTACCACAGTGTTGTCGGACAGGTGTGGAGTATGGAAACATCTGGAGAGAGGTCTCAACCACCCCCATCATTTCAGCTGGCCTCCCTGACATCTGAATAAAATGACTCTAGACCACCCAGACAACCCATAGAATCATAAGAAATAATAAATATTTCTTATTTTAAGTCACTACGTTTTTGGAGTAGTTTGTAACATCCGTCAAAGAACAATTGATTCTAAACCAGGCTGTTTAAAAATGTTTTACAGGTAGATATTCTTTCAGTATTACTCTTTTTGGAGGATTTGGATTTGATCCATCATCAAAGATTTGAACTGAAATACAAAAGCTTAACTGCAAAGTGCAAAGCAATGATTAGTGGGTAGTGTTAATGTTTGGGAACAGTGGAGTTTTCCTAGGGTTCCTAAAAACGGCTTCACAAAGGTGATTCAAGTTTTCTAGATATGTGTTCTTGTAGAATTAAGTATCTTTTGTTCAGAGCACTTTGTACTGTATATTTGGTGGTTATTTTACAGTGTCTAGGCTAAACTACTAGCTGTTGGTCTATAAGCTTTATGAAGGTAACAACTATGTCTAATTTGCCTCTGATAACATCATGGCACATATTAGACACTAATTTACTGAATGATAAAATTTCATCGACTTTACACAAAGGGTCCAGGCCTTCAAAAACATCGCCCAACAGTGTTTGTATCTAATGGACCTGTCTCTTGCATATCTGATGGACATCGCCCAACAGTGTTTGTATCTGATGGACCTGTCTCACTCTTCCAGACATATCTGATTCTCCAGATAAAGCAGAAAATCAGGTGTAGGTTTGGAATAAGGAATCTGAAAAAGATGAGATACCAAGACACTGGTCATTGTAATTCCTTCCCCTTACTTCAAAACCACTGGCAAACAAATTCAAGCAAACATTTCTCAAGATATTCTAGCAAACTTGAAAGCCAAACAAGGGGCTTCTGGGCAGGAATAGATGTTGTGAGTGGGAAAGTCAGGTGTGGGGGATGTTCATATTATTCTGTGGATGTCAAAAGACTGCAGTCACAAAGTAATTGTGAAAACAATGTCCCAACCAATATCCAATTATTTAACTAACTCTGGGAATCCTTTGGAGTCTGTCACTACCATCCTCCCATACCCCTTTATCCGAGAGACAAGCTGACGTGGAGAACTGGAAGCATGAGTCAGACAGTGAGAGGTTCAAATGATCCTAGTGGGTGACTTAGGCATGTAAACTTTTTCAAGTCTGTGTTTCCTTGTCTGCCAACTTGAGAGAAAAATATTTTAGAAACAGTGCCTCCAGAGATGATAGATACCTTGCACACAGGAAACATTAGATTATATTTATCCAGTGCTTAATAGTGCCAGGTCCCTAGGAGATAAAGGATAGGTGAATTTCTTAGAGATGATCCAGGACCTGCTACTGACTCCATCCCTAATGCACTCTCGGAGTGACTATAGGGAATTTCCTCCCTCTCCCTGGCTTTCAACCTTCTTTTTTGTCAAGTGAGGAACCCGGCCAAGATTTTCTCTAGTTGCCTTCCACATCTAATATTCCATAAGTCTTTCACCATTCAGTACACTCTATCCTGTTGCTACTCCTAGAAGTTGATAATGCTGAGGAGACAATAAGAAGTCACAAATTACTTTGTATTTACAGATACACATGCATTTCAAACAGATTCTGTAAATAACTACAATACTGTATTGCACTTTTGGCCTACATTTGCCTCTTCAGAGGTCTTTTTTTTTTTTTAATCTTCTTTTATTTGGATTATCAAACAAGACAAAAATCAGGCTAAGTTGCCACTAACACATACTATGCAGCTTCAACCTTGGTGGCTAATTGCACTATTACTGTGATTGATGAACATTGCACTTCAGTCAGCTGGAGGCTTGTTGCCTTCCACTCGGCAGAAACCAGGTCACAGAGCAGGGCTGGGAAATTGCCATCTAACAAACAGGTCTGTTTGCTGCCCAGCAGAAGAGTTTGTCACTATTACACTTAACTCAATTCCATCTGTTGTGAAGAAGCTTTCTCCCTGAAACTGGCTCCTGAGTTTCAAAGAATTTGACAGCTTTTAAAATAAACACTTCAGTCCTTACCTGGATATTCAAGGGGAGAAAAAAGATTATAAGATACTAAAATATCCAGGAGCCATAAATAACTTGAATCACTAGTAATAGGGCAAATGGGTGTCACCACTCAGAAAAATAGAAATTTTTCCTGACCTTTAGAAGAGGTTACAGTGTAAAAATCATACCCAGAATCACTACACTTTGAAGGGATCATATTCTTCTATGATCGGAGAAATCAAGTCACTCCTGCCAAATGCCCCACTGCTAGAGTGGAGAGGCCCTTCAAAGTATTACTTGAGAGCTAGGTAAGAAATGCCTGACAGAGGCAGATACAGGCACAGTCAATATTTGGGCCTAAAAAGCACTGAGTTATGTTACTCAAGCCCTTGAGACTTGGTTGCCTCAGAGACTGACTCTCCTTTCCAGAACTGTTAAACCTCCATCACCTCATTATAGTCTAAATAGCTGAACAATTTGTTAACAGATTAGAGACATAAGTCTTTTTTTTTCCAATGAATTTGACACCTGATTCCTGGTAGTGTGATCTTGACCAAGTCTCTTACCCTCTTTGAATCATCTATTAGAGATGTAGCATAGAATGTGGTTTACAGTACAGACCTTAGAGCCTACTGCCTGGATTTGAACCCCAGATCTACCATTTACTCACTAAGTAACTTTGGGAAAGCTAATGAATCTCACAGCACCTTAGTTTCCTCATCTTTGAATGATGTTGATTATAGGATCTCCTATCTAAAGACAATAGGAGGAAAAATTAGTTAATACACATGAAATGGTTGCAATAATGCCTAGAACAGAGTAAATATGACATCAGTATTAGCTACAATAATATTGGGGTGATGATCCTCATCTCTTGGGTTTATTTTGCAGATAACTACAAATGAAATGTGCAGGTGGAAAAAAAAAAAGCCAGAAGAGTTAGTAATGCCAAAAGGAAACTTCAAGATTATCCAAATAATACCCCTCATTTTGTCAGTAGGAAATCAAGACTCAGAGATGAGCAGTAATTGGTCCAGAGTCACATTAGTTTAAGAGTATAGTCCAGGTCTGATTCCAAGCCCAAACTCTATCCTCTGTACTGCATCAAAGACCACAATCTCTCCAAAGGGCCCTTTTATGTAGTTGTTGGACCTACTGCTAGTTAATGTAATTTCCTAGGAAAATGAGATGCTTTTGAATTCAGGAGAGAAAACTTGGTTAAACTCTTCTTCTGTCCCCTCCTCCCCAACTTTAAAGATGACAAGACAGTGCAGGGAGAAGGTGGGATTCAGGCCAGGGCCGGGTGGAATGATTTTCAGGAGTCATCACCGATCTCATGTCATTGTTTCAGCTAAAAACCATATGTATGCCCATGTCCATATAAGCTAGAATCATGATTTACTCCATTCAGTTTACTTCTGGTGTCAGAGGGGTATTTTTTGTTTTTGTTTTTTGGTTCATGTTTGAAAAATGGCTCTATGCCAGGAGTGATTTCACATATGGTCTTCGTAGAAATTAAGATTTCACTCCCAAGAGAATGAGGTTAGGTTTGGGATCTCTGAGTTCAGTTTTCCCTCCTTAGATTTATTCTGCTTTGAATCACATTAATGAGTTGAATTATTCAGTAATGATTGAAAGATGGGTTGAAGGAAAGGGTGGGTTTAGGAGCACACGCAGTGAAGAATGGCAGATGGAATTATAACTATTTGACTTTGGAAAAGGGCAGATCCCCGGAGTCATGATTTCTGTTCTCAAATCATCTAAGGTGTCACAGTGCAGAGAAAGCAGAGACGTGAGGTCTCTGACAGCAGAGCTATACAAATGGGGTGGAAACAGAAACAATTTCCAGGAGGCAGATTTCAGCTTATAGTAATGAAAACTTTCTGATTATAAGAGCTGCCTGAAGATGCTGTGGACAATGAGCTCTGGTCCCTGCCTAGAATGTATGCTTTAGAACAAAGAGATTTGGTTGTGAGGTCTGACAGCCACCTGTCCAGGATATGAAGATTGGAATTGACCGGTCAGACAAGATAAATTTTGGGACCCCACTAATTCTAAAACTTTCAGATTCTGGGAGTCTAAGAACCAATGACCAGTATGGGAACTATGGTGTTCCCATAGTTGGAGCCAAGTGGAAAGCAGCAAAATCAGAAATTCATGATCTGCTTCTTCATGCTTGTATTTCTTTTCTTTCTCTTTGTCTTTCTTGAGCTTGCTTGCTCTTTCATATAGCAGGAACCTTTGACATTTTGCAGGGGATAATCTTTTTCTTTTAAGTGTGTTTCTGACTCAGCCTTTGCTCCTTCAGCATCATTAGAGAGTCTGAGCTCTCTGGAGATTAGCTTAGGCTTGTCACCACAGCAACTGCCCAGGCCCTGCGGGCATCCGTGGTAACAGGCAGAGGGCTCTGAGAGCCAAAGCTTGACTTGCAGTGAGAGGAGGCCCCACTGGGAGCTTGATATGAAACAAGCATGTTATTTGGGAGGTTTTCTTTAATAAGATTAAAGTGTGGGTCTCACTTTACACAGTTGACCAGGGTCTAAAAAGTGTGTGCATGTGTGCGTGTGTTTATGTGTGTGTAAGTTTGGTTAATGGAGGAAATCTTAAAAGGTGAGAAGAGACTCACTTTTTAAGTCCCTACAGTGAATCCCTTTCATAAATTGGAGTCCTCTTTTGTAAAGTGAATTTCCACGCAAAGTGTGACCTGCAGTTAGTTAGTCTAGTGCTGAGTATCTTGAGTGGGGCCATCTGAAGAGCACCCTAGGGACATGCTTCAGCCTCCGCTGCAGGCAAAGAACAGTAGCAACTCAGCTTGCTCGGGGCTGGGGGTGGACAAAGTGTGACAGGGGAAACAGTGAGTGTGGGGCCACAATGAGAGGACAGAGGGAGGATGGGCCTTGCCTAGCATGAGCAGTTCTGCTGCAGTAGCGGTGGGGTGTCTGAGAGGCGAGTGTTCTTAGCAGTGCCCAGCACGGAAGGGTCCGTGTCCAGTGAATCAGACATCTTGTCGCAAATGGCATCCACCAGGCGCTCAAAAGCCTGCCTCACACTGATGTTCTCCTTGGCGCTGGCTTCAAAGAAGTCAAACCCTGAGGAGAGAAGAGAGATATAGGTGAGTCTTTGTCCCTTCCCTTTCATGCCCCCTGGCCAGAACAGTCTGGATTCATACAGCCTGTTTCAGGAGTGAAGCGAGGCAGTCTAATTCTATGGACAGAGGCTTCTCTTTCAAGATGATACAGGGCACTGGTTTTAGAATCAGACAGAGCCTGACTCTATTGGTGACCAGCTGGGAAACCCCTAGCAAGTCACCTGTTCTCTTTATTCATCAATTTACTGGCTTATAAATAGATAATTTTAGCTATCTCACAGAATTATTTCAAGAATTGTTAATAAATAAGATAATGCATAAAGCGTATAGCCCTGTGCTTGACACAGAGTGTGCGTTAGGTGTTTGCTGAAAGAGTGAATAACTTAATTTGTATGCACAGTACTTCACAGTTTCCAAAGCATTTATCACATCCATTATTTCATTTGGTCCTCAAAAAAGAGTCCAGACGAAACCTCTCCATTTCACGAATGCAGACACTGTGACTTTGAGAAGTAAGCTGACTTACCCAAGATAGGGAGAAGCATCAGCAGCACACAAGGAGCACAGGTTTTAGCCTTTTTGATCAGAGTTTTTCCGATTCATCCCTCTGCCACCCATTCACACCAACCTGGCCATCTTTAGCTGGGCTCTGAGAGGCAGCCAAGACCCACAGTGAATAAGCAAAGCTTCATTCGCCCTTTTTACCCACAGACACACTGGCTTATTCCAACTCAACTGGGTGTCTCCTCCTCAAATTCCAGTAGGATTACTCTATATCTTTCCCTCCTCACATGAACACAACAAAAAATCCCATGGAAAATTGCACCTGAAGCCTGAGACATTCCTGTCTATTTGGATCCTTTACCTTGAGATCCTTTACAACACTTTCATGTCTGTGGCCAGAACATTCCCCAATTGAGGAATGTTGGTCAGGTGGGGGGTGGACCTTAGAAGTATAATCTGCCTTCTCCCTCATGCTCCTGTCCCAGCCTACTCCCTCCTCTTTAGTCTGTCCACCTTCCTCTCTCTTCCCTTTTTTCATTTGGCTCCTTTTTCCCCACTTATGTTCCTCATACTTTCTCCCTGGGATCCCTGATATTTACTGAGCACCTGCCTACACCAGATACTATGGTAGGAGCTTAACAAATATCATCTTACTAAATCTTCACAATAGCATGTTGGGTAAATATAAACATCTCCAATTCATAAATGAGAAATGGAGGCTCCAGGAGATCATATAAGTCACACACATTCATGTGGTTGTATCCGTGGCAATTGGGTTTAGATCTGGGTTTGACTAGTTCCAAAGTACATACACAGCCTGGCTGCCATTTCTTCTTCTTTGTCCATTTCATTTTCTTCCCTGGCCCTCCTCCCCTCATCATATCTTTTGCTTCCTTTACAAGTCTCTTTGACCTCTTTTGCTCTTATCTGACTGCCACAGTGTCCGAATCTGGACAAATTCCTTCACCTTTCTGAATCGCTTAACCTCTCTGCATCTCAGACTCCTTGTATGTCAAACAGGAATAATAACAGTGTCTTCCTGCTGAGAGAAGTTGGGAGGATTGAGATGAATGATAAATTCTGTACAAAAGTTGCCTGTTATGACAGTTTCTTTTTGCTCTCTTTTTATCTTGCTCCTCTTACCTCTTTATTCCTTTCTCCCTCTTTCATCATCTTTTCCCACAAAAGAGGGGTTCTCTTTCCTTTACCTTCCTCCTCCCTGTGATCACCACATCATACGGCTGGGGGAACTGAAGCCTCAGGTACAAATAAGACTCTGCTTCTCCTGGCCTTCCCAGCTTGAAGGCATTCACAATTCCGCCAGCCCACCTCTGGCTGACAGCTTCTCCTGTGGCTCGTGTCTTGACCTGAGAGAGGCAAACTGCAAAATTGCCCACTAATTGCAGACCTGTGATAAAGAAGCAGGCGGCTGCTGGCTCATTATTCTGAGGTCTTAGAAACCCAGCTTCAGAAAACCTTAGGACATCGCTCTCTCGAAATGAATATCAGAAAAATGGACTCTCTGACCTTTGACTTACTATTCACAAGTGACCATGTCTGCAGAGGTAGGGAGAATATATTGCTGGTTAGGCACAGGGCAAATAAGGAAAAAAAAGTAAGCAGACTTTAACTATCAATTTGGATGAAGATGAGGATACAGGGGCACAAATCCCTTCAGAGAAATTGGCACTGAGGGGCAGACATGCAACATTGTACAGTTGGTCAGTGGGAAGAGGCCCAGGAGTCAGACAGTCTGGATTAGAGTACAGCTTCCATCAGTTACTAGCTGTGTGACCTCTGGCAAGTTGCTTATTTTCTGTTTATTCATCTGTTGAATAAAGTGACTATCACCTACTTCACAGGGTATAATGAGAATTAAATGCAAAATATACATATGTTATATATAATGTTACATATATAAATACACCAGTATGTATCTACCAGAACAACCATAACAGGTTCATTAGAACAGAAAGCCCAAAGAGATGAGGCAGTACCTGACCAAACTGGAGATCTTGGATGTCCTGCCAAGGTAATGTCTTCATAGTCACCTCAGTCACCACAGTATGAGACCTAATTCAAGCAGCCTGCTCATGGTTCTCCTTTGCTACTGGAACAACCTCAAATGTACCCCCACCCAATTACTGTCAGACTCTTGGAAGGCTCTTCCTTAGTACACCCAGATGGTAACCTTTTCCTCAGGTTCATTAAAAGGTTTCATTAAAAGGAACTGAGAATCTGGCAAGTTCAGGAAAATGACAACCAATTAATCAGACTAGCCTCTAGTCCCTTCCTCCCTTTAATTGGGATTTCTTCCCATCTTTAATGGGGCCCAATTCTTAACTGAATATGAGATGATCCCTCCCCCTCAAATTATTGTTTACTTGTCTTGTCTGAAGGTAGCTGTCACAGACCCACAGACTGTGTCCATAGTGCCTGCTTCTGAATTTGACTTCAGAATTCTATTCAGAAACTTGTATGCAGCTAAATGTATCTTTTCTCATCCTGACACTACCCCCAAAACATTCTCTATTTTTATGTTCACATCCCTTCTCTATCCCATGCTGACACCTCCTCATGTCTGTCACTTATCAATCTTTATCTCATTTCCCTCTGGTCACTGATTTTGGCAAGGGACTCCTTGCCTGCCTTTCCACCCCTCACTTGTTCTCATTCTCAGGAATTCTAGGTTTCTTGTGGACAATCCATCCAACACCTTGACCTCTTAATTCCTTGAATAGCTCATCTCCAGTGACCTCTCCCATTTAGCTTTAGCTATACCCCATCCTCATAACTTGAGTTATTTTAATTCAGATTTATGTCACTAGACCTGAAAGAGGTCTAATTAATGCAATAGCTAACCTCATTGGTCTAACATCCAAGACCCTACACGACTTGGCTTCTATGTACTTCTCCAGCCTTGTCTTCCTGGTTCACACTATAATCCAGAAACATCAACACTTTCTTATCTGGTGCCTTTTTTTAATGCTATTACTCTAATTCCTACTCATAACCATGTTATTTACTTATCTATAGAATCACTGATTCCAGAGAGTCCTCCCTTTCTCTTCTTACTATTTCTCTACCACTCGGAACATACAATGTACCTCTCCTCTGTACTCCCAAGGCACCATGCCCAATTTTTTCAGATTCCAACAGGAATATGGAAACTATTCTTAACATTTATATAAGAGGGGATTGGTTATATAGGTAGTAGAAGAAATGAGAAGTAAAATAGAATAGTGAGGAAACCCAGCAATTATTGGGAGCAAACAAACTAATAAAAAACAACTTATGGAGGCAAAGGACATTAGAACCACCGAAGTAGGAGTCAGAGAAGAGAAGCAGCCTCTGCTGTGGGAGTCGGCCAAGACGGGGGTGCAAGGATACCCAGTTTTCCCCACTCCAATCACCTGCCAGTGTCTCTTTTTGGCTAACCTGAACCAAAAAGCAAAATTACAGGAGACTGGGAAACACAGCCTGCAAGGTTCAGCTTCACCAGAGGGGATTGAGCCAAAGGGTGAAGAATGATAGCAAATAGGCTAAGGACTGCCATAGCCATCTACCCAAAGGATGTTGAAATGATCGCTTTATTATTGTTGTTTCCCTGAACAGTAGCATCTTGAGGGCAGGGAACCCATTCACTTATGTCTTTGGGTCCAGCATATGTTCAGTGACTATGGCAGATCATTCATGGCCCTCCCTGTGGAGAATTTTCCATTCCCTCCCAATCCTAGAGGTTTGCAGTGCTTCTTTGTGAGAGCACTATATATCCCCACGCCATCAACATCAGGTTTGAGCCTATAAATTGCTTTGGCCAATAGATATGAATGATCCAAGCCCCAGCAGAAGCTTGAAGAGCCTTTGTGTGATTTCACCACCCCAGATTAAATCCCAGAGTAAGAAGCACATGAAACAGAGTTAAGCTGACCTGTAATAGCACCTTTTTTTTAATTTTTTTTAAAATTTAAGATTGATTTATTTATGCATGCAAGAACTGGGGTACAGGCCAGAGGTGTGGAGGGTGAGAGGATTCACCAGAGACAGAGTGGGGAACAGAACAGGCAGACTGACTGAAATACACTGCTGAGGGGAGCAGCGGGCGAGTCAGGAGAGGTCTGCTACGCCATGTGGGTCTTCTCCCTGGCTGGGGATCGAACTCGTGCTGCAGTAGCTGCGGATAGCTTCATAGGTTGTGTCTTAACCCCTTGCGCCACCAGGGAGGCCCCAAAATTAACCTTCATTATCTCAGTTCCTGACTCAGATTATGTACTACCATAACATCATCTAAAGAAATCTCACTAACGTTAGAACTGAAGGTGGAAATTTGAAGACAGACTATGGCTGATTTGGGGGAAAACACAGCTGGCTCATATAATGAGAACATCACATTATTAATCAACATAGTCTGATTAATTGGTTGTCATCTTCCTGAGCTTGCTAGATTCTCAATTCCTGAGAAACCTTTTAATGAACCTGAGGAAAATGTTATCAGTT